AAACCATATGGTCCTGGACTTTTTTTGGTTGGGAGACTTTTAATGACTGTTTCTATTTCTTTAGGAGTTATGGGACTGTTTGGGTGGTTTATCAAATCCTTATTTAACCTTGGCACCCTGGTATCTGTCTAGTAAATCATCCATTTCATCTAGATTTTTCCAGTTTTGTTGAGTACAGGCTTTTGTAGCAGGACCTGATGATTTTTTTAATTTCTTCAGTTTCTGTTGTTATGTCTCCTTTTTCATTTCTAATTTTGTTAATTTGGATACTGTCTCTGTGCCCTCTGGTTAGTCTGGCTAAGAGTTTATTTATCTTGTTGATTTTCTCAAAGACCCAGCTCCTGGTTTTGTTGATTATTTGTATAGTTCTCTTTGTTTCTACTTGGTTGATTTCAGCCCTGAGTTTGATTATTTCCTGTTATCTACTCCTCTTGGGTGTATTTGCTTCTTTTTGTTCTAGAGATTTCAGGTGTGTTGTCAAGTTGTTAGTGTATACTCTCTCCAGTTTCTTTTTGTAGGCACTTAGAGCTATGAGTTTTCCTCTTAGCACTGGTTTCATTGTGTCCCATCAGTGTGGGTATGTTGTGTCTTCATTTTCATTAAATTCTAAAAAGTCTTTAATATCTTTCCTTATTTCTTCCCTGACCAAGTTATCATTGAGTAGAGAGTTGTTCAGCTTACATGTGCATGTGGGTTTTCTGTTGTTTTTGTTGTTATTGAACAACAAAATAAGACCAACCTTACTCTGTGGTGGTCTGATAGGATGCATGGTATTATTTCAATCTTCTTGTATCTGTTGACCCTTGGTTTGTGTCCAATTTTATGGTCAGTTTTGGAAAAGGTACCATGAAATGCTGAGAAGAAGGTATATTCTTTTGTTTTAGGATGAAATGTTCGGTAGATATCTGTTAAATCCATTTGGTTCATAACTTCTGTTAGTTTTACTGTGTCTCTGTTTAGTTTCTGTTTCCATGATCTGTCCATTGATGAGACTGGGGTGTTAAAGTCTCCCACTATCATTGTGTGTGGTTGAGTGTGTGCTTTGAACTTTAATAACATTTCCCTTACAAATGTGGGTGCCCTTGCAATTGGGGCATAGATGTTCAAAATTGAGAGTTCATCTTGGTAGATTTTTCCTGTGATGAGTATGAAGTGTCTTTCCTCATCTTTTTTGATAACTGAAAGTCAATTTTATTTGATATTAGAATGGCTACTCCAGCATGTTTCTTGGGACCATTTGCTTAGAAATCTTTTTTTCCAGCTTTTTACTCTGAGGTAGTGTCTGTTACTGTTCTTTCTTTGTTCTGTGCATTTGTGTTTTGATTACTATATGACAGGAAAATTTTCTCTTCTGGTCCAATCTATTTGGCATTCTGTGGGCTTCTTGTATGATTTTGGGCATCTCTTTCTTTAGATTAGGGAAGTTTTCGTCTATAATTTTGTTGAAGATATTTACCGGCCCTTTGAGTTGGAAATCTATGCCCTTTTCTATGTCTATTATTCTTACATTTGATCTTTTCATCATGTCCTGGATGGTTTTTTTGTTTTGTTTTGTTTTGTTTTGTTTTGTTTTGTTTTGTTTTGTTTTGTTTTGTTTTGTTTTCGAGACAGGATTTCTCTGTGTAGCCCTGGCTGTCCTGGAATTCACTCCGTAGGCCAGGCTAGCCTCGAACTCAGAAATCCGCCTGCCTCTGCCTCCCAAGTGCTGGGATTAAAGTCGTGCGCCACCACCGCCCGGCCTGGATGTTTTTGAGTTAGGAGCTTTTTGCATTTTCTTTGACTATTGTGTCAATATTTTCTATGATATCTTCTGCACCTGAGATTCTCTCTTCTATCTGTTATATTCTGTTGGTGATGCTTTCATCTATGACTCCTGATCTCTTTCCTAGATTTTCTATCTCCAGGATTGTCTCCCTTTGTGATTTCTTTATTGTTTCTACTTCCAATTTTAGATCCTGGATGGTTTTGTTCAAGTCCTTCACCTCTTTGGTTGTGTTTTCCTGTATTTCTTTAAGGGATTTATATGTTTCCTCTTTAAGGGCTTCTACCTGTTTACCTGTGTTCTCCTGTATTTCTTTAAGGAAGTTATCTGTGTCCTCCTTAACGTCCTCTATCATTATCATGAGATGTGATTTTACATCAAAATCTTGCTTTTCCAGTGTATTGTGATATCCAGAACTTGCTGTAGTGAGAGAACTGGGTTCTGATGATGCCAAGTAGCATTGGTTTCTGCTGCTTTTGTCCTCATGCTTTCCTCTCGCCCTCTGGTTATCTCTGGTTAGCTGGATTTGCTGTCTCTCACTTTACCTTGTCCCTTCTGTGAGCCTGGATTTGTTAGGACTCCTGGGGGTAAATCTTTGGGTGGGATTGGCATGTGAAGGGCTGTAGCACAGAGTCAGCTCCCAGGTGTAGATGGAAACCGGAATGATCATGATCCTGACTGCACTACAGTTCCTGTGTCCACTGGGTCCCCTGTGGTTCCTACTTGAGCCAGGTATTTGGGTAGTAGTGGTGGTAGCTCACCTGTTAGCTTGGTATGTCAACACTCCTGGGGGACAAGCTTTCTCTGGGTGGGATTGGGGTGCAGAGGGCTGTAGAGCAGGGTCAGCTCCTGGGCACAGAAGGAAACCAGAAGCCAAAACATGTTTTTAAAAAGAGAATCCCCAACCAAAAAGAATGTGTAGTTCAGCTAAGAGATGATTAAGTTTCTGTTTCTGTGCTTATGTTGGCTGGGTCAAACTGAGGAAACAAGTTGCTGACCTTCATTTCCAGACAAATCTAGCAAACTGCCCTTTGGGGTATCCATCATCCTAATACATGTGTCTGTTGAGTTCAGGAACATGATAAGATTGACTTCATTCTGAGATCATTATAGATAGCACATGGTTCTCTGTAGTGGAGAAAAGCAGCCAGAATCAAGATGATTGTCCCAGCATGCTTACTCTAAGGTGTTTCAGTGTAAATGTGAAAGGCTGTATATTTTAAGAGGTAGTCAGCTGGGCTAAGAGTACTGACTAGCTGGGCAGTAGTGGCATATGCCTTTAATCCCAGCACTTGGGAGGCAGGGGCAGGTGGATTTCTGAGTTCGAGGCCAGCCTGGTCTACAGAGTGAGTTCCAGGACAGCCAGGGCTAGACAGAGAAACCCTGTCTTGAAAAACCAAAAACCAAAAACCAAAAAAAAAGTTTAAGAGCACTGACTACTGTTCCAGAGATCCTGAGTTCAATTCCCAGCAACCACATGGTGGCTCACAACTATCTGTAATGGGATCTGACACCTTCATTTGGTGTGCCTGAAGATAGTGACAGTGTACTCACATATGAAATAAATAACTTCTTAAACATAAAAGAGACAGTCAGCTGTTGACCACCACACCCTGGTCACAGCTCAAAGCAGTCAGCATTCAGGGGAATTATTTTGTCTCCTGTACGGCTTTCCTCTTATCCCTCTCTTTATGCTATGCTGGGGAAGGAAACCTCTTACATCTGTAGGGTTTTTTTTTTCCTGATGTGGCCTTTCAGGACAGAGCTCTCATTCTAACCATGAGCTTAGTGCTATATATTTGTCGCTACTCTCCTTTCTAACATGTCCTCTGTGTCCCAAGGAAATGGTCCAGTAATAGGAGGATGTGTTGTGTTACTCAATTTTTTACTGATCTTAAGTTCTGTATACTTTTAAAGCTCATAAGATACTTTTATTAAATATTATACATCATTACCCTGGTTTCTGTTTCATGTGTATAGAGATCTCTTACAGATGTCTCCCAGATGCGTCCCCTCAGATAGGACATTAAGCCTACCTCTGTTTCTTCTTTGCTATTCCGTGGCCATGGTTTCCATCTTTGACTTTGAGAGACCACTGGAATATGAAGCTACTGAGTACCACATATGACCTGTGTGCTGGTTTTGGTTAGAGAGCTCTTTTCTGCCTTCAGATTTGTGTCCCATTGTCAACAGGGTCACCCCTAACAATCGCCAGAAGAGGAGGTGAATTCGCATTCTGATTCTTTTTTTTTCCTCTACTTTAAAGGTTAACTTGTCTTTATTATAAAATATTGTAACAAAAATATTTCCATTTGTATAGGTTGTAGCATTTGAAGTCAATCTATAATGAGTTAGAGTCTACTTAATTTCTGATATGAAAGACAACTTCTAGAATTCTAAGATACCATTCTAAGCCATGAACTGAGGGGAATCAGTAACGTCCACCAGCACAACAACAGAGCGCCAAGTCTTCAGATGACACCAACATGACTAGGTGGTCTCCACACTTTGTAACAATGCTCAGCATTTTGTTTTCTTTTTTAAAAAATGTATTGATCTCTTCTAACTTTGATAGCGCATTGACTCCAGTTTGCACTGTCTGATACTCCTGGTTCTAGGGCCATCAACTGTGGTTGTCTTACCAGGAGTCAGATGTCTAAGGAAAACCAAGTTGTCTCCCCCAGAAGCTCCTCAGCTAGAGATTTGAGCTTCTGGGCCCTTGGACCCCATGATGGGATGTTGACTGGCTTGATCCTGTGCAGGGTGGGCAATCACGGCTGCTGTGGGTTCCTGAGTGGAATCTTGTCGTGTTCAGAAGACATAGGTTCACTCTGGTCCTCCCTGGCCTCTGGCTCTTACAATCTTTCCAGCCCTTTTTATTTTGCTAGGATTCTTGAGGCTTGAGGGTGCTGTGATGTCTGATTCTTCTCTGGCACTCTGTAACAGGTTGAGAAGATGAACACCAAGGAGCCAAGATATCTATGAACCAAATTTCTAGTTTCTTTCTTTTTCTCTTCTTTTTTTCTTTTTCCCCCATTGTTTAATTCAGCACTAGAAGGGGAGTGGGATCACGAAGAATTATTTAGCCTTTGAAAGGACCATCTCTGGTCCTTTGGTGTGGTCCTTATGGGTGTGAGACTTAATCCATGAAGTCTCTCTGAGATGTCATGATGACTTAACCAAGGTCTTTTGTTTGAAAACAAAATCCACATGGACGTATGTGCTTCTGTTCCTTCAGGTCAGCCTGGACTCTCGGGTTAGAGAGGTGATCAACAAAAGTCTGCTGGACCCCAGCCCTCACATGTACGAAGATGCCCAGCTTCAGATCTACACCCTCATGCACAGAGACTCTTTCCCAAGATTCTTGAACTCGCAGATCTATAAAGCTTTTGTCGAAAGTACTACCAGCCCTACTTCTGAATCCTAATTCCCATTTGAAAGGCCAAAATAAAATAAAATAAAATAAAATCATTTCAGAGGGCTGGGATGGGAAATAAAAGTAATTAAATAACATCAGAAATTGAGTTCCTGAAAAACCTACAGGTTGGCTTACTGGGAAAAGACAACCGGGAAGGTCTTTGGTCTCCATTTTTATCAAGGTTATCCATGATTCTGTTTGAAAACAAACAAACAAAAAAGCCTATGTAAGACAATGAATTGCCAAATTAAGTTTGTTTGATTCAACACTTGCTCTACTTGCAAGCAAACTGTGTTCCTAGTCCTCTGAACAATCCCCTAATGCATCTCTAGAGGCCGCATGTGCAAAGTAAAACTGCTTCGTCTGCCCGTTACTTGTACTATTAAATCAGTAGCATACCTTGTCTCTGTATTTAAGGACTTTTGTGCAATATGGTCTCTCAGAAACAATTGCCAACAAACTGGCTGTGGTTTGCATTTTTTTAAAAGCATAATCCGATACACACAAAGGCTATTTTAAACATGTAACAGTGATATTTAACCATGCTACATAATGTGTTTAGTACACGGACTCGGAAGCCAATTTTTCTGTACGTGTTAAAAAAAAAAGTAGCTGTTGAAGGATCTTATTGTGTGAGCCCTATGGTTGTTCACTGCCCAAATTCTGGCATTTTTGTTACAGAAGAGTTTGCTATATTAAAAAGAGAGAGAGAGAGAGAGAGAGAGAGAGAGAGAGAGAGAGAGAGAGAGAGAGAGAAAGAAAAGAGAGAGAGAGAAAGAAAAAGAAACAAAAATAACTAATGGTAAGAAAATTTTTAAAAAGCACAAAACAATCTGCAGATATCCTGTCTCATTGAT